ACGGGCATATTTATTTTTTATGTACCTGTTGTGTTTTGTTATGTTGCTGAGTATGTGGTTAATTTTAGAGAAGTTTCCATGTTTTGCTAAAAACAAGGTATGTTCTTTAGTGTTTGGATGGGATGTTATATAAATGTCTGTTAATCCCAGTTGGATCATGACTTCTGTTACTTTCTTTGTTTCTTAAGTTTCTGTCTTGTGGTCCTGTCCACTGGTGACAGTGGGGTGTTCTAGTCTCCCACTCTAACAGTGAATTTTTTTGAAAAATGAGTTTTAATAATGTTTATTTTACTTAAAATTATGCCTATATATTTGGGGCATTGATGTGATCATCCAAATTCGTGATGGATATTTCCTGTGATGAATATGAAATGACTTTTTAAATCTCTTTTGTTTTACTTTATTTTGAAGTCTAATATTTTAGATACTAGGATAGCAACCAAAGCTTGTTTCTTGGTTCCATTTGCTTGTAATAGAGAATGAGAAGGGGAGATGTGGAGCAGTGAGTAGTTGATGGATGAAGAGGACATGAGCAGGGAGATTGAGGTGGGAGAAGAATAGAGGAGAGCAAGATAACAGATACCATAGTAAAGGGAAACATTACAGGTTTACAGAGAAATCAGACACTAGGGATATGTGTGGAGATCTACCAAGATGACACCAACTGACAATCTAAGCAACAGAGGAGAAGCTACCTTAAATACCCTCCCCTCATAATGAGATTGATCCCTAACTTATATGCCAACCTAGATTCTTCATCCAGCAGATGATAGACATAGACACAGATGCCCACACATGAACACTGAACTAATCTGGAATCAAGTTGCAGAGAAGGAGGAGTGATGAGCAAAGTGTACCATATCAGTTTGCTGAAAACAACAGAAACAACTAACTTGAACAAGTGGGAACTCTAGGTTCCCACAGTGTTCACTGCAAAAGAAACATGGACTGATTCAGAATGCACAAATTTGGGTGTCATTGAGTAAGCCTCAGAAATCTAGATCAGTACTTATCCCTAGCATAGAAATGGAGTTTGGTAGCCACTTTCACATAGAGGGAAACTCCCTCAGTCAAGATTATGGGGGAGTGACTAGGCCATATCACAAAAGATATGACAGTCTCTGAAAAACCCACATGGAAGACCTCACTCTCCTTTGGGCACAGAAATGTTATTGGAGAGTTACGGCATTAGTGTGTGTCATGGGATGAGGGGAGGGAGAGGTATCTGGGATTGGCATGTAAATCAATCTTGTTTCTAATTTAAATAAAAATGGAGGTAAAAAGCTAAAAAGTACAACAATTAATGTAAGAAAATATATGAGAGCATCACCAAGAAGGATTAAACCTTCAAAAAAAAAAAAGAATGAGCAACTTGGGGCTATCTCCATGTCTCCATTTTTGGATCCACAGCATATGGGATACATCTAAGTGCTCATTATTCAACTGAAAGAGTATAATGATGGATATACTTACATGTGTACTGGATTGAAACTGCAGAATGTTACTGCGGGGCAGAAGTAGTAAAAATACTTAAAACCTGAAATAAATTTGTACCTTTTGCCTATGTACAGGAGGATATATTATAAGGTCATGAATGGGTGTGGTTGGCTTATATTTGAAGATGTAATAGATTGTGATAGAAAGAACATATATGTTTCCAGGCAACTGTGACAGAAATCTTTCTGCCCATATCATGGCCCCAGAAACAAGGAACAACTGAGATGCAGTTTTGCACCTGGGTATTTTAATATCCTAAGACATGTGTCATTGTACAACTTTTAATGTCACCTTATATTGGAGTTGATTCTCCAAATGAGACCTAATCTCGATAAATATAGCCCTTGAATAACAATCTGCAAGTCATTTATTACTAGATTCACTCTTCCATTAGAAGGAAAACCCAATTGTGTATTATCTATTTAGTTCTGTACCCCACATTTTAAATGGATTATTTGGTTTTTAGTGACTAGCTTATTCAGTTCTTTGTGTATTTTAGAAATCAGCCCTTGGTTAGATGTTGGGATGGTTAAGATCTTTTCCCATTGTGGGAAAAACTGTCTTGTCTTGTTGACTATGATTTTTTGCCTTAGAGAATTGTCTTAATTTTAGGAGGCCCCATTATTAATTGTCGATCTGAGTGTCTGTGCTACTGATATGTTCAGTAAGAGTTCTGCTGTACATATTCGTTAATGGCTAGAGGCTCTTACATAGGTTGCTGAGACAGAGACAGAGAGAAATAAACAGTGAAATTGAGAGACAGAAAAATACAGTCTGAGACAGAGAGATTGAGACTAAGAGAGACAGCCAGACCAATGCTCAGCTCAGGCAGAGTCTAGTCCAGACCAGGTACAGCTGCACAGGCTTCACAAACAAAGACAGAGAGAAAGAGACACTGAGAGATAGTGAAAGGCAATGTGATACAGAGACAAGGAGACAGAGAAATATACAGACAGAATTGTGTCTGGCTGCTGTGGTCACCTCACGCATCCAGTAGCTGCAGTCCAATGATCCCTCAGTCTAGTATAAGAAATAGAATTTAAACCATGCTGGAGGAAGATAATCATGGAAAACTCAACTTGGTTTGGCAATTGTGAGTCTTTTCATTTTCTAAGTCCATTGTTGTAATACTTAGAGAAGATGACATTCATCCACAAAAGTCTTTGTAAAGTTTTTTCCATGGAACAGTAACCAGAAGGGATCCGATAAACATAAGATGAATTTCCCATGGGCAAGGCCGAGTGTGGCTCCGTACAGACAATCTCAGAACTCAGTCTGCCTGAACTCAAAGCCAAGAGTTGAATTCAATATGACCGTACAGTGGATGTCATACAAGGTCCTGAAAATCAGTGGGAATTAAGCACTAAAGGCTTAAAGAAGAAATACACCCATGACTCAGCACATGCAGTGGTGGACCTCATCCTTATGAAACATACCTACCTGAAGGGGTATCTAACCTGTTGGTTTGTCTGAGAAAAAGATCTCCTCGGTCCCCCACTCACCCCAGGATTGGTGGGAATAGAGCTCACAGATCCTCCCTGGTTTTCAAGGCTCCAGTATTAGTCTTTTGTTTACATGGAAGGGGAAGCTCGATATGGAGACAGAATCCTGAGCAATGGAACACAAACCATGGAGAGTCCATGAACCATAGATTTAAGGACAGGAAGGGAGAGGGAGAGTGGGGTAGACAGGGGAAGTGACAAAAAGGGTAACAGCAATAACAGAGAGCACAGAGCCGAGAGGAAGAGGAAGGTAAGAGAGACAGAGTGAGAGAAAGAGAGCATGAGTAGGCCAGAGTCTATCTAGTAAAGGGCTCCTTGACACATGCTTGCAGAATTTCTGGCCAAGGAACACTGCATGGGATGACCGTAGTACCTCCTGAGTATATCCTTCCATGTGAAAAGGGCGGGACAGCTGGATGACTTGAAGTTTCATTCCCACATTCACTGAATGTTAAAAGGTGCTGTGTTAGACTTATCAGGTTACATAATAAGGTCCTAGAGTTCTGGACATTGCTTCCTGTTGATATGGGGGTCGTTGACCACCATTGGGGTTGAGTATCTTTGTGAGTAACCATCAGTGGTGATGCCACATCTGTCAGTATTTACTGGCTCTGCCCCAGCCCAGGGTGTGTAACAATTACGGGATCTTCTTAGACCTGGCAAGATTTCAGCAGTGTAGAATGAATAGGTTAGGTTTAGAAACCAATGTTTCTTCCATTCTAGAACTGGAGGGGAGGATGGTAAGGGGAGGTGGGTTGTTCCAGACTGTTCATGCGATGAGGATTGGAATAGGGAGACTCACAACATGCAATAGTTGAATCCTATTTATCTGTAGTGGGAACTGTTTGAATGGGTCTGATTAGGGTCCCTTGAACTTACAAGAATCTTTTGGACTTGTGAAAAACATAAACTTTAGAAACATTAGCAGACTAATTATTTTAGAAGCCACATGGCTGTAAGCATCCATGTACTTTGAAATTGACAGATATCTTCAGGACGATGGAATGCACCTCAATTTTGCCAAGGTGAAATGGGTTAGCATGCGGTTCGGTACGCTGTCAGAATTGGACAAGTATCTTACAGAAAATTTATCGACTCATGGGGAGAATATGACGACTTTGAGGATGAAAAAGAGAGAAATTGGGGATATGTTTCATTCTCTATGGAAGGCCAACCTTAATATCCCCATTTCTGAGATCATCTCAATGTAAAAGCTGACATAGCTCCCTCGGTGTCCTCATCCATAGCATTAGAGATTTTTTGAGAAAAGGAAAAACGTTGACCAAAGTCAATGATGAGAAGAGGAGAGACTCGATAAACACAGTTCAGAAGCACAGCTGCCCACAAGGCAGGCTGTGACCTGTTCAGACCAGACCAGGTACTGCTACAGTGTCGAGTCCTGTTTGCAGATACAGAAACAGAGACAGAGACAGAGACAGAGACAGTGACAGAGACAGAGACAGAGACAGAGAGACAGCTAGAGTAAAAGACAGGCAGGTAAAGATTGAGAAGAAAGATGGAGCTATTCAGACTGACCAAGCCTCAGTTCAGGCATAGTCCTGTCCAGACCAGGTACAGGTGCAAGTTGTCACCTAGGTTGCAGATTCAAAGACAGAGAGACAATGAGATATAGACAGAAACACAGACACAGAGACAGAGACAGACAGTGTCAGACGAAGGCTTAATGTAGGCTAACATTAGTGCAGACCATGTACAGCTTTGCAGGCTCCCACCCTACTCATGAAAGATGCCTTCTCTGACTAATGAACTCTGTCCTGCTGCTGACATAATCTCATGCAACCAAGTTGCTGAAATCCAATGATTCCTCAGTCTAGTCTCATAAATGGAATGTAAACCCTGCTTGAGGAAGTAAAACATGGAAAACTCACCTTTAGTTGGGTAATGTGACTGTATTCAGTTTTTAATTCCATTGTGGTCCTTAGGAAAGACTACATTCATTCCCAAAAAGTTTTGAATATTTTTTCCACCGGAAATACAAACAGTTTCATCCCATAAACAAAAGATGTATTTCCCATGGACAAGGCTGATGATGCCTCGGTGAGGAAGAACTCAGTTCTTAGAGTCAGCCTGAACTGGCGGCCTAGGGCAGAACAAAAAATGCCCAAAATATACAGGCAACACGAGGTCCTGAGAAACAGTGGGAAGAAAGTGCGGAAGGGTTAAAATGGAAACACATCTTGACTCAACTTTTGCTGTAATGGAATTCATCTTTGTGAAACATACATATGGAAAGTGGTGTCTCACTGGTTGATCAGTCTGAGAAAAAGATATCATGTGTCTCACACTCACCCCAGCATGTGTGGGAAGAGAGCTCACAGAGAGAGCCTCTGTGGTTTTCACAGCTGCAGTGTTGGTTTTTTATTTTTTTTTCATGGAAGGGGAATGATCGCTATAGAGATGGAACCCTGACCAATGGAACATGAACCATAGAGAGTCCATTAACCATAGAGTTTCTGAAATGGCAGAAGAGGGAGTGTGAGAGAGACAGAAGAGACAAAGAATGTAAGAGCAAGAGCAGAGAGCAGAGCGAACAGAAGGTGAGAGATACACACACACACACACACACACACACACACAGAGAGAGAGAGAGAGAGAGAGAGAGAGAGAGAGAGAGAGCATGATTGACCCGGGTCTGTCTTTACAACTGCCTGAAGACATACGACCCAAGGGAACCTGTGTGCAGTAACCAGTGTACCGCCTGAATGCATCATCCCTGGTGACCAGGAGCAGACCAGTCTGATGCCTAGACCTTACTACAAACTTACTGTTTATTAAATTGTGGGGTGTTAGACATGGCAGGTTATAGAATAAGGGTATCAAATCCTGGACCCTGCTTCCCGCTGAAGTGGGAGGGGGTCTCAACAATCTTTGGGGTGGAAAATCTTTGTGTGTAAACCATGTTTGGTGATGCCACAACCTGCAGTATTTGCTGGCTTTGCCACAGTCCAGGCTGTCTAACACTCTCTGGAACTTCTTGGAACTGGCCAATAGTCAGCAGTGTATAATGAATAGGTTCAGTTTAGAAACCAATATTTTTTCCATCCTGGAATTGGATGGGAGTATGGTAAGTGGAGGAGGTTTGTTCCAGAGTGTTCTTGCGATTAGAACAAGAATAGGGAGACAGGAAACATGTAATAGATGAATCCTAATTATCTGTAGTGAATTTTGGGAACTGTTTGATTGGGTCCGATTATGCTCCCTTGACCTTACAAGAATCCTTTGGATTTGTGAAAAACATAAAGTTTAGACACATTACCAGCCTAATTATTGTAGAAGCCACTTGGCTTTAAGCATCCGTGTATTTTGAAAGTGGCAGATATCTTCAGGCCAATGGAATGCACTTCAATTTTGCCACTGTGCATTGGGTTACCATGTTGTTCGGTACTCTGTCAGTATCAGACATGTAACTAACAGAAAATTTATCAACTCATGGGGAGACTGTGACCACTAGAATCCTGTGAATGAGAGAAATTGGGACATGTTTCATCCTCTATGGAAGGCCAACCTTATGATCCCTATTTCTGAGATCAGCACTGTGTGAACACTGGCCTAGCTCTCTCTCTGTCCTAGTCCATACCCTCAGATATTTTGAGAGAGGAGGAAAAATGGTGACCCAAGACAATGATAAGAGGAGAGGGACACTATAACACAGTTCAGAAACACAGCTGCCCACAAGGCAGGCTGAGGCCTGTCTAGATAAGATGGGGTACAGATGCAGGATAAAGTCCTGGTTGCAGAAAAAGAGAAGGAGACAGAGAGACAACGACAGTGAAAGCCAGGCAGGTACAGATTGAGAAGAGAGACAGAGACAGAGTGAGTAAGACTGACTAAGCATCAGTTCATGCACAGACCTGTCCAAACCAGATAATTTACACCTGCTGGATGCTGCCCAGTATTCAGAGATTGAGAGTTTGAGAGACAGAGAGAAACAGAGATTGAGAAAGTCAGAGAGACACACAGGCCAGACCAGATACAGCTGAAGGCTCCAACCCAGGATGCAGATATAGAGAAAGAGAGACAACAAAAGTGAGAGACAGAATGATACAGAATGAGAGAGACAGAGACAAAAAGAGACAGACAGACCAAGTTTCATTTCAGGCATAGACCAGTCCAGACCAGGTACAGCTACAGATTTTTACCTAGTCTGCAGAGACAAAGACAGAGAGACTAAGAGACAGTGAGAGACAATGAGATATAGGCAGAGACACAGATACAAAGACCAAGTCTCTATGTAGTCAGCAACCAGTGCAGACCATGTTCAGCTCTGCAGGCTGCCACCCCACTCATGGAGGATGCTGTCTCTGCCTAATGAACTCTGTCCTACTCTGAGGTCACCTCATGTAGCCAAGCAGCTGCAGTCCAATGATACCTGAGTCTAGTCAAAAAATGGAATGTAAACCTTGCTGGAGGAAGCTAACCATGGAAAACTCAAGTTTTGTTGGGAAATGTGACTCTTTTAATTTTCTAACTCCATTTTTGTCCTTCTTCGGGAAGAAGACATTCTTCCACAAATGCTTTTGAACAAATTTTCCATAGGAAGAGTACCGGAAGGATCGAGTAAACATAAGATGTATTTTCCATGAGGGAGGTCGAAGGTGGCTCATTATGGATGATCTCAGAACAAGGAGTCAGCCTGAACATGCAGCCAATGGCAGAACAAAATTTTCCATATAGTCCAATTAACACAGGGGTCTGTAAAGAGATAGAGAGAACCTGAGGAGTGTTTAAAACTGACACACACTGGTGACTAAGCAAATGCAGTGGTCGACCTCATTCTTGGGTACACACTGACCTGAAGGGGTATCTCACCATTTGGCTAGTCTGAGGAAAATATCTCTTTGGTTATCCCCTCACCAGAACATGTGTGGGGAGAGAAGTCACAGAGAGATCCTCCCTGTTCATCCACCTCCACCTTTTGTTTATGTGGAATGGGAAAGTAACCTATGGAGAAGGAACCATGAGTGATGAAACATGAATCATAGAGAGTCCATGAACCCTATAGTTTCTGTCATGGCTGGAGAGAGAGAGAGTGGGGGAGACACAAGAAGAGACAATGAATGTAAGAGGAAGAGTAGATAGCAGAGAGGAAGGCAAAGGTGTGAGAGAGAGAGGGGGGAGAGAGAATGAGTGAGACAGAGAGAGAGAAGAGAGAGAGAGAGAGAGAGAGAGAGAGAGAGAGAGAGAGAGAGAGAAAGAGAGAGAATAACAGGGCATGAGTGGGCCAGTATCTGTCATTTAAAGAGGTACTTTAAATCTGCCTATATACATAGTACCCATGGAACACTTGATGCATGAGAGTATTCTTCCAGGGGATTAGGGAAGGTCAGCCTAATGCCTGGAACTTTCATTGCCACATTTACTTATTATTAAAATGTGGGGTTTTATACTTGGCAGTTCAGGGAATAAGGATGTGGAGTTGTCACGACAGTTTCCTGATGATGTAGGGGGCATTGACTGTATTTGGGGAATCAAATAATTTTGGGGTACTACCACATCCTGGAGTATCTTGTTTCCAGTCCAGGCTGTGAGTCACTCTCTGGGTCCTCCTAGAAGTTGCCAGATGTCAGCAGTGTAGGAGATGATATTAAGTTTGAAAACAAACAAAAAAAATGTTTCTGAAGTCCTGGAATCGGAGGGCAGGATGCTCACACATGTTAGCGGTTCCTGAAGAAGAGATCCCAGAAGAGGAGGAATGGAGTCTGCGACCCACAAAGAGGCTGAATCATATTTAACTACAGTGAATCTTTGGACCTGTTTGTATATTTATGATTCAGCTCCATGGAGGGTACATTAATCTTTTGGGTTTCCAAAAAAATATAAATTTGAGACAAATATACAGGCTCCTTATAGTAGAAGTGGGTTGGCTGAAAGCATTCACATTTTGGAAAGTAAAGGATATCTTTAGGATAGTATAAAGGCACCTTAATTTTGCCATCATAGTGTGGTTTAGCATGCTGACTGAGAGACAGACACACACAAAGTGAGACTTACAGACAGAAACAAAAAGGGACAGTTTAGATGGAGGCTAGACCAGAGCAAGTAAAGCTGCAGGATTTCACCCAGGTTGCAGAGGCAAAGACAGAGGGACAGAGAGATTGAGAACAGTGAATGACAATGAGATACAGACACAGACAGAGACACAAACCAAGGCTCAGTGGAGGCCCAGAGCAATACTGGATTATCACATCCAGAGAGACAGAGATTATTAGAGACAGAGGAAGGGAGAGAGAGAGAGAGTGAGAGAGAAAGAGACAGAGAGAGAGACAGAGACAGAGAGAGAGAGAGAGAGAAAGTGCAATGCAGGTAGATTTGCAGACTCCCACCAACACTGCAGACACAGAGACAGAAATAACAGAGACAGAGACAGTGAGTGATATAGAGAGAATAAGAGACCCAAAAGGCAGAAAAACAGACAGATGCACTGACATTCCAAGGTTCAGTGTAGGCTGGAACCAGTGCAGGCCAGGTACACCAGGTACACCAGGTACATACTCATGGGGGACGCTCTCTCTGCCTAATGAACTCTGTCCTGCTGATGACATCATCTTGTGCAACCAAGTAGCTACATTCCAATGATCCCGCAGCCTAGATTAAGAAACTGAATTTAAACCTTCCTGGTAGAAGCTAAGCAGGGAAAACTCACATTTTTGAATAAAATGATTCTTTTCCTTTTCTTAGTCTATTGTTTTACTTGTTAGGGATTATGACATTCATTTGCAATTGTCTTTGACCAGTTTTCCATGGTAACAATAACTGGAAGGATCCCTTAAACATAAGATAAATTTCTAATGTGCAAGCCCAAAGGAGGCTAGGTACACACTATCTCAGAACTCAGAGTCAGCCTGAAGTCACGGCCAAGGGCATCACAAAAAATGGCCAAATAGTCGAGGGGAAACAGGGATCTGAAAAGCAGTGGGAAGAAACTACCAAAGGCTTAAAGCTGAAACACACAGGTGACTCAGCCAATGTGGTGGTGGACCTCATCCTTGGGAAACATATAGACGTTAAGTGGTGTCTCATAGTTTGGTTGTTCCCAGAAAAGGATCTCTGAGGTTTCCTGCTCTTCAGATCATTGCCAGG